AAATTTTTGAAATTTAAAAGGATTTGGAGTTTTTGCTGAAATTTCTTTTTTTTCCTCGGAAACGGGAGGGCATTGCTTTTTTTTTTTTTCCTTCTCTCTTGGAATATTTTTTTTTTTTTTTTTATATATGTATAAAATATTTATGAAAAAAAAGAATAGTTTTCATTATTTAAAATAAAAAAAATATATTTTTATCCAATATTAAAATAAAAAATAATAAAATTAAAAAAAAAAAAAAAAACAGTAATAAAAATTTCAATATAGGCGCAGATAAAATAAAATAAAAATAATTAAGTAAAATAAAATAAAGTAAAATAACATAAAATAAAATAAAATCAAAAAATAATAAAATAAAAAATAAAATTATACGCATTTAATTAATACATTGTTATTAAATTCAATTTTACAACAACACACACAGTTTTTTATTTATTTTTTTATTTTTTAATTTTTTTTAATTTTACGCATTATATTATTATATTCATATATTTATACACATATATATATATATTTAAAAAATATGTTTTCAAAAAGAAAGTCAATAAGATTTAACCCAGAGGGTGAATTTTTAGAATTACCTAGAGGCGGATATGTTGTCCCAAGTAAAATTGGAGGTATACAATTTGGGGTACCACCAGAAACGATTAAAGATTCAATGGCAATGAAAATAGATGTACCAACTATTTATGTATTTCCAGAGGAACTTTGGGATAGAAAGACTGGTATTAATGCAGCCGAAGCAGAATTCCCAGCATATTTCAATTATTTTATTTTAAAGAGAAAGGTTTCATTTGTATGCACAAAAGAGCAAGAACATCGTATTAGAGTTGTATTTCAAGAAACATTATTGGGTCCACCAGAATTTAATACAGGATTGGTTGTGGAAAAGGATGAAATAGAGTGTGAAAATTCACCATCAAATGGTACAACCAATGGCACCACTACAGCTTCGACATCTACCTCTGCAACAACTTCATCAACTACCACCACTACAGCAACCACTACACCATCAGGTATTATCGATCAAAGTACAATTGATTTATCGTCCATCGATACATGTCATTATCATCACCACCATCACCAAATTACACCACAAAACAGTTTAACAAATCTTGAAAAGTTATTAAATAATCATAAGGCTTCCGAAACAAATGAAAATGGCCAAGAGGGTGAACAAGTAAACGAATTTTCAGATGAGGAAAAGATTAACAATCAAAATATTGATCAAGAGTTTAAAAAGGAATTTTCATCGTCATTCCCAGAGTCAGAAATACCAAATTTAGAAAAGGAATGTAAATATTTACGTACATTTAATTCAGTCGATGAATTATTTGACTTTATATTGTTTGATGATAATGGTGTAGCAAAATTATCGGATGATGTCGAAATTCATTTCCACGAAAATCAATCATTATTTCAAGTATTACAAAAGAATGAAGAGGAATCAAATCATCACTTGGTTGCAACCATACCATCTAAATTTTATTCCCAGATATGATAAATTCAATTTCAACCATTAATAATGAAGTTTTTGACCCACCAACTTTTGGAATTACAATTATTGGTTCTTCACACGGATTTGACCCAAAGAAATCAACTACTGGTTTTGTATTATGGATCAATAAAAGAGGTAGTAAGTATTTATAAATATTAAACAATTTATTATTTTATACATACTAGCATATATTAATATATTTTATTTTTTTTATTAAAATTTAAAAATAGTTATGGTCGATCCACCATTAAATTCAAGTAGTTTTTTACAAAATCAAGGTGTACCAACTAGAGCAATAGATCATATTATTTTAACACATTGCCATGCAGATCATGATTCAGGTACATTTCAAAAATTATTAGAAGAGTATCAAATAACAGTTGTTACAACACCAACTATTTTAGGGTCATTTTTGAGAAAATATGGAGCACTATCAAATTTAAGTACTGATTTATTAAGAAGATTATTTGTTTTTAGACCAGTTATGATGGGAGAACCAATGATCATTTCAAATGCTGAATTTAGATTCTTTTATACCATTCATACAATTCCAACTATATCATTCGAGGTATTTTATGGTGGTAAAAGCATGTAAGTATTTTTAGTAAAAATTACTAAATAATAGTTATAATTTATTAATAAATAAATATTTTATTTTTTTAATAGTTTTTATTCAGGTGATACATGTTATGACCCAAGTAGAATAATCGATATGAATCAAAGAGGTATAATGACAAAATCTAGAATGAATTTCTTTTTAAGACCATGGAATCATACAGTTGTATTACATGAAGCAGGTGTACCACCAATTCATACACCAGTATCAGTTTTAAGAGCATTACCAGAGGAAGTAAAGAACAGATTATATTTAGTACACATTTCAGAACATACTTTACCTCAAGGAAGTGGATTAAAAATAGCAAAAGAAGGTGTTCAACATACATTATCATTGGATGTCATTAGATCATCACACTCTGAAGCAGTAGATATATTGAAATTAATTGAATCAGTTGATATTTTTAGATCGATACCATTAACACAAGCATGTGAAATTTTACAAACTGCAACCAAAAGAAAATACTCTCAAGGATCATTAATTATAGCTCGAGATACCGAACCAGATGCATTTTATATTATAGCAAGTGGCGTGGTTTGTGTAACGATTGGTGATTTGAAAAAGAATTTAATAGTTGGCGATTATTTTGGTGAAATGTCATTGGTCATGGGTACATTAAGATCAGCAAACGTGCAAGCAGTTACAGATGTCGAAGTATTATCATTCAACAAGGAAGACTTCCTTTCAATAACAAGAAATAATAGAGAATCAATAGATTTTATTACCAAATTATTCGAAATGCGAAATGAAAAATCATGGGAAACAATGTCACTTAATTCAGTTTTAAATAGATGCACAAACTCTCAAAGAACTGCTCTCCAATCGATTTTTACAAGAGTGCCCGTTAAAAAGAATGAGTATCTTTGGATAAAAGGCGAAGTTGCTAGTTTTGGTTGTTTGGTAGCTGAAGGTTCATTTGTTTTCGAAGAAGATGACGCTTTGGAACCATTTTCAAAAGGTTCTTTTTTAGGTGATATAAATGCAATGTCCATAAATCCACCCTCAATCCATAAAACAACAGTGGTCTCCAAAGAAGAAAGTGTAATATATAAAGTTTTTTCAAAAGATTTAGTTAAATTTTTTTCAAACAATCCTGGTATTCAATTGGCATTCTTGGATACAATTTTTGTTGATGCTTTAAGAGATCAATTACCGCAACATGTAAATTCAAAATTAACTTATTAATAAAATAAATTAAAAATAAAAAAAATAAATAAAATAAAAAAAATTAAAAAAAATTAAAAAAAAAAAAAAAAGATTTATTAATCTAAAATTATTTATATCTATAAATAAAATAAAGAAATGAAAAAAGAGGAGGAGTTATGTTTTATAAAAAAAAAAAAAAAAAAAAAAAAGAGGAGTTATATTTTTTTATTTTACACATTTTATTTTATCTTTTATATTTTTTTATTATTTATTTATAATCATAAATTATTATTTAATAGTAATACAATATAAATAGTTTAAACAATTTTATTAATTGATTAATCATTATTGCATTTTTTTTATAAATTATTGAATTATTTATAATTTTTATTATTACAATGATGGTTTTAAATTTTGATCTTGAAAAATATTTAATTTTTTAATTTCTATATAATTTTTAATGCATGGTTTTAATTGTTTTATTATTTTTATTATTATTGTTATTTTTATTATTATTGTTTTTGATCTTATTAAAATTATTCGAAATTAAAATATTGTTTTTTTTTTATATTTACTAACAAAAGTTAAATTTGTATTAATTAAAAATAAAATTTTTAATTAACTACCATACACAGTTAAATTTATATACAATCATCATATATTACCACTAAAATAGTCATTATATCACCATTACCACATTTGTTAAATTGATTTTCTTAATCAAAAAAACAAAATATAAAATTAAAAATACACTAAAATAAAATATTTTTATATAGCAAGGTTTATCCAATGATTAATTAGTTAAAAAAAAAACATCATTTCTATAGATATTTAACCATATTTTAAAATTTATAACCATATTTTATTTTATTCATACATTTTTTAATTTATCACATCCTTTCTCCTAGACCTACCTTTAATTTCACCCCTGAAAAATATTTTAAAAAATTATTTTCTCTTACACACACACACACAATTCTCATATATATACAAACTTTATACATATTTAACACACCTTACCACACTCTACCACATATACACACAACTCATTAAAGAATTTTTTTATTATTTATATATAATTTTTTATTTTTTTTTTTTTATTTTTTTTTAATTTATTTTAAAATTTAAAAAAATTATTTTAATAATATTTCCAAATATTTTTTTTAATTAAACTATTATATAAAAGTAAAAATAATTATCACAATAATTAATTTCCTAACACACACACACACTATACTATTACACCAAAATTCTCATTCTAAACACTTTTTCAAAAAAAAAAAAACTTTTAAACTATATAAATAATATAAAATTAAATTTTTATAAATATAAAAATATTTTTAATCGATTACTATTCATAAAATTACTTTAATAATACATTTATATAACTATAACAAAATTTGTATGTATTAATATTTATATGTTTTTTCATATTTATTTTTTGTTTTTTACAATGATTATTCATAAATTTTTTTTTTTTTTTTTTAATAATTTTTTTCTTAATATTTTATTATTTGATTTTATTTTTACTTTTTATACATCATCATATTACTATAATTTTTCAATAGATAATAAAAAATTCATCTTTAAATAATTATCATAATATTATCATTATAATAAATCTTTCATTATTATTTTTTATCTCTTATTATTTTTTTTTTTTAATATTTTTTTTATTTTTTTTTTTCTATTGTCACACAATTGATTTTTTAATTCTTTTTACCCTGTTTATTTTTTATTTTTTTTCATTGGGAATTATAATAATAATAATATAATAGAAAAAATAAATATTTTATAGTATTAATAAAGTTTTTTTTTTTTTTTAATAGTAATAATTATCTTAAAATAAATTAAAAAAAAAAAAAAAATCGAATAGTAAAAATAAAAATGAACATAATAAATTATTTTAAACAACATTCAAATGGATCTAATAGTTCAAGTCATTACTCAAATAAAACAAGTTTTGTTCCATCACCAGTACTATATATGACACCAATGGCTCCTATAGATTATGGTTGTCCAGATGATATTTTAGACGATGGGAAAAGTGATTCAAATATGACACCAAACTCTCAAACTACAAGTCCAATGTTTACAGGTGAAAACGAAGCTTTTGGAGCATTAGAATTTTTAGATAGTTTAAATTTTGAATTAAAATATGGTTCTCATGTTTCACAGGGAAATAGAAAATATATGGAAGACCGTCATAAAATTAAAATTGGTTTAGATAATAATCAACATTTATCATTATTTGGTGTGTTTGATGGTCACGGGGGCGAAGTAAATATTTTTAAAAAAATTTTAATTTTTTAATTTTTTAATTTTTTATTAATTCATTTTTTTAAATATAGAGAGCATCAAATTTTGTTAAAAAGAAAATTGTAAATTGTTTAAATAAATTTGTAAAAGAAAATAAAGCAGGATATTCAAGTAAAAATTCATATACATCCCCAACTAATTCAAATTGTTCATCATCATCATCAACATCATCAACAACATCGACTACACCATCAACATCATCAGTTACATCACCACCTTCAAATATAATCTCACATCAAATAAATGGTTCATCATCATCAGTTGGCCCATCTGCATTAAATTCATCCACAGGTATTGGTGGAGGTGTATGTAATAATACTATAAATCCTACTTGTGCTGCATCACCTAATGGAGCATATGATAGTCCAGGATGGTTAAAATATAATCATTTATATAATCATAATAATTTTCAACAAGAAATACAAACAAGAAGTGAATTTTTACAAACAGCTTTATTTAATACATTTCAATTTTTAGATAATAGATATTGCAAAAAGTATAGACAAAAATCAGATGGTGGTACAACATGTTTGGTAGCATTGCTTTCAAAACCCACCAAATTCACAACCATTATTAATTGTTGCAAATGCTGGTGACTCACGTGGTGTTTTATGTAGAAATGGTAAAGCTCTACCATTAAGTTATGACCATAAACCAGGTAATCCAAAAGAAAAACAAAGAATTTCATCAGCAGGAGGTAAAATTGAATGGGATTACAATGAAAGAATTTGGAGAGTTTCGGGTATTTTATCAGTTTCAAGGGGTATTGGAGATATTCCATTAAAGAAATGGGTAATCTGTGATCCAGAGTTTGTAGTATTCCCTCTAAAAGGACCAAGCATTAGAAGAAATAGAGTTCATTATACTAGTAGCTCCGCATCAGCTTCCCCAACATCCTCAACACCCAAAGCATTTAAATCATCACCACAAATGAATTCAAGATTCTTTTTTTCACCATCATTTAAAAACAAACCAGTTACTGGTTCACCATCACAATCAAATAGTCCTCAAATATTTACACCATACATTAATCAATCAAATTATCAACAAAATAATGGTATTTCATCACCATCATCAAGTATCGCATCTGAAACACCATCTTTAAATTCAACCGATCATAGAAATCATAATCATTCAAATATAAATAATCATAGTTTATTAACACCACCACCATCTTCAATTAGTCACCACAATCACCATCATCAACATAAAATGTACTATTGTTCAAATCATCAATTTAATTATGGCGAAGTTGATCAATTTTTTGTTTTAGCAACTGATGGTATTTGGGATGTTTTTGAAAACCAAGAATTGGTAGATTTTATAAATGAAAATATTGAAGAGTTTTATCATTCAAAAAGAATCGATTGGGATGCCAATGAAATTTCAAAAAAAGTAGTTCAAGAAGCCTATAGAAGAGGAAGTGGTGATAATACCACCGTTTTAATTATAAAATTATATTGGTAAAAAAATATTTTTAAAAAAAAAAAAAAAGTAATATTCAAAACAAACAAAAATAGAAATATAAAGATTAAAATTATTTATTATAATTTTTTTTTTTTTTTTTTTTTACTCAATAATATTTAAATAAAAAAAAATATTAATATAATTATCTATCCATTATTACTTTTTACTTTTTTTTGTTTAAATATAGTTATTATCGATTTATTCATAATTTTTAAATTTTTACCCCATTTCTTTTTTTTCATTTTTATTCAAACACACAACTAAAAAAAAATAATTAAAAATAAAAATAAAAATAAAAAAATACAAATTTTTTAAATTTTTTTTTATTTTTATTTAATTTATTATACTTCACACTCTCATATAAATTATTATTTACTCTTAATAATAGTTTAATAATAAATT